TGGAATATGGAAGAAAGAAACATCGTAGGAATATTGATACAGAGATTTCATTTTTTGGTTGTGAGGTCATGATGGCTCTGAAGTTAAATTGGGCCTTGAAGAAAAAATCACAATGAAAATTTAAGGGAAATTCAAAGTATGCAGGGAAAAATATTGAAGTCAAGAGTCAAAATAGAGACAGTGCTACTGGGGAAGGCTCCATAGCATATAGTATTCCCCAAGGATTTTTATTATTTATCTTTTACATTCTAGAAATTGCTGTTAATTTATGTTTTAATGATCTGTTGCATGTTTCACGACTGGCTCTCATGGGAAGAAAATATGAAAATATAAATGGCAACTCCTTTATTGTGTACATTGAATGACTGACTTGATTACTTGACTGTGCATGCTGTAGGCTCATAAAATCATTAGATGTCCCCGAGGGGTAGGAAAGTGTGGAATACACATTACACACATGATGCCTAAAATAATCACATCAGAATGATTTAATACTTTGTCCAGAATCTCAAGACCAACATATCCTGTCAGGCAATGACCTTGCTTCTTGGCTCACGTGGAAAGCAAGTGAACCACACACCTGAATTTTCCCTCTTCCTCGTGCTGACCACATGCTCCCATGCTGTCTTGTCACTATACATGAGTGTCCATGTTTCTGTGGAAGATCAGCATCACTCTAAGTCCTGTAGTTCTCTTGCAGTTCAGGACTTGGTTTCCACCACTGTCTTTGCATCTACCCCCGAAGGCTGTCTGTATACAAATATACTGTAATCTATCCACATTCATGATTTTGCTTTCTGGGATTTCAGTTATCTTAAGTCAAACATGGTCTGAAAACATTAGATAGAAAACTGTAGTTATAAACAATTGATAGTGTTCGATTGGTGCACCATTCTGAGCAGAAGATGAAATTTGTACCTTCCTGTTCTTTGCTTCTCAAGGCATAAATCACCCATTCTTTCAGGGTCACCACAGTACATATACTACCCACCTCGCAGCACTTCTGAGACATTTTTACACAGAAGCCACATTTTCTTATAACCTTCATTACAATTTCTTATAAATCCAGCATTAGTTATTGCTAACTTTTTACCTGTGCCTTATTTATCAGTTAAATTTTGTGACAGATTTTTATGTATGGGGAAAAAACAGTACACACAGGCAGACACTGACTTAAAATGCTTAGTTTATGAGTTTATGATGATTCTGGATATAACTCCATCACTGGCATTAGTTATCAATGGTGGCTCTACTTGGCATTTCTTAAATTTAATATAGATTTTTCATCATACGAATGATTTTTCAATAATATGTCATCACAGGCATAAATGAAATCTGTGCAGAATTAAATACTTTCCACCAACTGACTCCCTCCATGAATGTTTTAGAAAATAGCACCTAAAAATAAGGAGAGATTACTATATGGTAATTTTCTAAACCATAGAAAAATATTCTTGGTTTTGCTTATTAATCTGTTTCGCTATTTAAGAGAAAAATCTTTTTCCTCTAGTTCCTATCAAGTGAGCTTTCATGAACTCACTTCTATGAGTCATCTGTCTGCCTCTATTTTTACACACATAGGCACACACACACAGGTACACGCACACACAGTCTTACAACATTTCAAGTGAACTCCATGTTGCTGAACAGTCATCTGTTTCCAGTTGTCATTTTCCAAATCTCTGCTTTCCCTCTCATTTGGAAGGTGCTGTGCCCACTTGGCTGAGTTTTTGCCAACCTCCTTTCATTTTCATCCTACAGGATGCTAAGAAAGAGTGCCATGTTCTTCTCTGTATAAACCCTACACATCTTGATCTTCTCCTCCACATCACATATATTTTTCTACTATTTATATGCTGGCAGAAAAAAAATTGCAGCATTTTTTTTAATTTAAATCTAGAGTAAGAAGGGCAGCTCTTAAAATACTTCTGTGTCTAAAATGTCTCAGATGTAAAGTGCTCATAACCAAAATTGTAACTTTCCATTTAAACCTCCTTTTCTCACAATTCCTTTATTTTTGAACCTGGCACTTCCTTACAGTTACACAACTTTATTTTCAGGCCTGACAGCTTTCCTTACTGAGGAACTTCATTACCCATGCCTTCTCCCAGCCAGAAATTACTGAACGATCACTAACACGTGTCATTTCTTGTCCCATATCTATCATAGTGAAGGCCTGGCGGCACACTTCAGGTTTTGGCCTCTGTTGTTTGACTTAATTTTCTAATAGTGACGCTTCAACTCCCTCATTTCATTCTACCTCCAGTAGCTCTTGTTTCCTCCCACTCTCAAAGATTGCCTCTACCTTGGGGCCTTTTAATTTATATTTCTCCCACCTTGAATATATTCCCAGAAATATCAAAGTGATCGATTCCTTTTAACCCTTAGAGATTTCCCACACTGCATTGTGGATTCTCTTGACCTCAGCAGCACCTAACACACTCTTTAGTATCTTCCCTCTCTATTTTCTTGATTGTTGATAACATATCCTGGCATAGTACATTTAATTTACTTATGACATTCTATTTTATCCGTTGTCACTGGGATGTAAGTCTTGTTATTCCTTTTGTTACTGCTGTTGTTTTATGAGCAATTTTTCACCTGCTCCATTTCTGACCTGCGCTGGTTCTTCCTTACTTAGATAGCCTGGTGGTCCCCTTCTCCTCAAGGTCACTATATTGATGTTGAACTTAGACTGGGCACCTGAGTCACCTGGTGAACTGCAATCCAGAACTCCAAGGCTCAAGCAATCCTCCTACTGCAGCTGGGACTTGTAGTCCCAGCACAGGCCACCACACCGGTCTCAGGGACATGTGTTGGTCTATTTTGTTTAATACTGTAGTTTTTCACTGAAAGAAGCAAATGATGTAAATATTCATTGAGTAAATGCATAATTAAATTGTGAAGACTTTTTTTAAGTGAGATTTATGGAGCTAATGAAGATCAGAAAGGCTTTGTTCTAAGGGGAAAGTCTATCACACACTGAAAGCTATTTCTGGGTGTTAGATAGATGGATGGAAATGCAGGTCTCAGACTCACTGGAAATAAACAAAACGGTAGAAATTCACTTCTTCCACTTGACCTGGAAGTGGTAATTGATTGCCAAAGCTGATCAGCAGTGTGGGAGAAAGCTGAGTAGATACTGAACCAAGGGCCAAATCGAGTCCTTATCTTCTGCTTTACTACGAATTACCAGATTTTTTTTCTGTCTATCATCCCACCAAAGACAGAGACATAAAACTCTTAGTTCCCAACAGTATTAAATTATTGACAAATAATTGCAAGGTAAGACATTTTTCTAGAGCTGCCTGGATATTTTGATCGGGAATATTTTATAACAAAAATATAATCTCAACCTTAATAAAGTTACAGAATTGTTTACAGAAGACTTCTTTTTACAGAACTTTTTCCTATTAGCAACATTCAACATTTTCATTTTCACCAAGAGTGAATTGCATGTAGATCTTGTTTTATTTTTTTAGTGACTCACAGGAAAATCACACGTTTTCCAACAGTTTCCAACCCTTTTCATATCAGAATTTCAAATGCGTTAACACATTATCTGCATGAGAATTAGGCTGGCTACACAAACAATGAAAGAGTGAATGGAAAATTTTCAGGGTTAGTTAAGGCAAATGGACACCTGCTAGCTTACAATAACACATTACAAGTTCCCTGGAGCGGACTGCTGAAAATAAAGCTCTTAAGAAAATTATGAAGGTGTTACTAAAAATATGCTCAGTGAAAGCATTGTAGGGAATCCGAGTGGTTGCTCTTTTCCACAGTAAATTGCTATTTGACATTAGAAATTGGCTAGGAAATACTGAAGACCTGAAGTTAACCATTGAGGCAGTAGAGCTCTGTCGTCCGTGTTGCACAGGCCTGTGCATCTGTATTACACTCCATCTCCTGCTCCTACGTCTTAGCCTAAGGAACTGTTTATAGGAAGGTTTATTTTACTTAAAGTCTCTGATATTTAACAGGTATTGTAATACGTCATGATTGATTGGATATAATTTTTCACTGTCACATACTATGACTTGCAAACACTATGAGCAAATCAATTATAATTTGTATCTTTTATGACAAATACGTAATGAAGTAGCGGCGAGTTTATCAGTCATTTCATGTGGCTTACTACCATTAGTTGGCCACACTGGGGTAAGTTCTCCATGCCCATTAAGGACGTCTCGTGCGTTAGTCCTCTCAGTTGTCTGGGAATTAAAGCACATTTATAGAACTAGTGCAGATTTTCCTTAAAAATGCTCATAGCCTTATCTTTTAAAGGCTACCCTGGGATTTCATAGCTACTTTATTTGTGGTTTAAAAGATTTTTTCTATTTTCTTTAAAGTATAATAAATTTCCTTATGTGTCTAAATGGGAAACATAGTTCTAAGTATCCATTGGAATTAATGGACCCTAATTTTTATTTTATTTCATAAATATGCCATCTATATCATTAAACAAGCAGCTAAAAGAAGAATAACTAATCCACAAATTATTTTTGTGAGACATTTAGCTCCTAAGCCTCTAGAACACATGCTTGTGTTCAACATTTCACTTTCCCATGGCAAATAGTGATTCATTCTATAAAACAGGGAGATATTTTTAAATTATTCTAACACCAGTTTATCCCTTGAAATATATAAAGTTACAAAAATGTTTTAAGTATTTTCAAGACTCTTGTACATTAGCTGGTATATCATTCAACCTCACAGAAGAAATTTCTCTGAAACGTTTATCAACTTTCAAATAGCTTTCATTGACACTGAATATACTTACTACCTCTGTCTCTCTCCCACCATCTTTTTAAGTGAAGCTGTTTTGGACATTTACAGAGGGAACAACAGTACTGATTTTAGAAACTGGTATTCATCCATATAGCAGTTACCATGCATTCTAGATAAGCTTATTATTTAATGAAAATGCCTAGTTATCAATTTGGTAAAAAAAAAAATTATTTTGACTTTTATTTCCCCTGCTTCTCCTTCCCTTTCAGGAGTTGGAATTTTCAAATTTATTTGCTGTTCTTCACTGCATTCATTCATTCTTCGCTGCCAAAGTGGCCTGTTTGGACCCTCTGTTCTTAGGGAATCAGGCGACTGCTTCTGCTGCTACCAGCTCAGCTACCACAAGCAAAGCAAAATACACGACTTGATACCCTCGAGTGCGTAGTGCCACTTACCATGACTAGATAAACGGAATAGATGTATCAGCCCTCTCACACTCTGGAGAAGCCACAGTATCAATAAGCCACCAGTGGAGTTGGGACGAAATTTCAGCAGGAAAAGGGTTACGAGGCGTCTTACACACATTCCCAGCTCGGAAAGCTTCTGTAAATTATTCTACATGGATAGAAGAGCGGCTGTCCTTTGATTCGTACATGTGCACTGTTTTCACCAAAAGTGGAGATACAAGAATGAATGGGATGAGGAATTATGTAAATAATATAAAAATTGTAAGCTACCTATAAATAAAAATGCCAATCAAATGGTTATTTCTGTATTTTAGATTATTTTGTATGAAAAATACATACTGGGCCAGATCATGAACTAATGCCCTTTCATTGATTGTATATTGAGTGTAAAGAGACCAAAAAAAAAAAAAAAAAAAAAAAATGATAGCGAGGAGCATGTAAAAAATCTCATCAAAAGGAAACACTTTAATTTGCCGATGTGAATTTTACCTTGTATTCTCATCCCACCATGCCGCACTGGAGTCCTAATTTTGCATATCTGATTGTAAAATATTCTTATGAATTGCATAAAAATAATCACTCTGGCCTGTGACAGACAGGATACAAACTAGACTACTTTTCCCTTGGTTCACTGTTATTAGAGTTTTTCTAACTGCGGTGTCAACCAAACACACCAAGATTATGTTAACCATGAATCATGGAAACATTCGTGAATGTCTTGTTCTTTCCTTCATTTTAAACAGATTTATATTTTACCTAATGAAATTTATTATCAAGTTAAAGAGTCATAGATTTTCAAGAAATCTAAAAAACTTTTATAGAGAAAATAACAACAACAAATATCACTGTAAGAAACAGTTTTTGTAACCTGATCTCTTTTAACTAATCATGAATTGAAATGCACCTACCAAGCAGTCTTGAAGCTATATCAATGTTAGCAAAGTCACAGTTTGTCATTTGAGTGATATTTTATTAGATGGTAAGACAAGATTTCAAAATAAAAGTTAAAAATAAAAATTAAAAAGTTTTTAAAAAATGATTAAGCAATGCCAATCCAGATATTTTAATTTAGGATTGTAAACGTGAAGAGACTACAAATTTGAAATTCTTAGAAGTATGCACCTACAACTAAGAATCAAGGATGGTATCATTAGTTGTATGAAGTGGATGAAATTCTCTGTTTATCACTAAAGCTTTACTGACATCTGCTTTCAAATAACCAGCTCTGTACTAAAACATTAAAAACCTCACTTTTTTAAAACTGCCACAAATTCCCACCTAAACCAAACACCACATATTTTCTTGCAAAGATGAGCAAAGATCTAACAAAAATTGTTCAATATGCTTTTCTAAACAAGAGAAAAAAATCCTTCAAAATGGAAATAAAATGACTCATTGAAAGGCTAATTATTCAGTTAAAGTTAAAAATCAAATCAATATCAAAATGTTTTCATAGCCACTATAAATTACTTATTTTAAATTATATTATTTCTTAAAAATGTTCAATGAAAATAAAAGTTGGAGGTTTGTGACTAGTCCTGGGGAAACTTAAATTGAATTTAAGATACTTCATCAAAAACTTTGTTGCCAAATTGGATAATAAAGGTTTAATACAATTTATTATGATTATTGCTCACTCTAGTGATCGAATAGAGTAGTCATACAAAATGTGAGGTCCACCAAAACTCTAACTTTGTAGTCCTCTTCTTAATTTATGTAGAAATAGGGTACATCTGGAGAGAGAGACAGACAGACGGACAGACAGACAGACAGGCATCTGGACACCTAACGCAGGATTCTCAGCAGAGCAGGCATTTTGATATAGAACCTCTGCTGCTAACTACAGCCGACTCTCGGTTTGTGCCACATTACAATGTCATTGGGATGGCTCCAGTTGCTCTAGGTCTGAGGCAATAGGAAATGGGCTAGTTGTCTAAAAGGAAAGTAAGAAATCACATCTAATTTTTAAAACTTTACATAACTGATGTAAATTAAAAATAAACATCAAATTTCAGAAAAGTTCTATTTAAAATACAAAAGCAACTCAATTAAATCTCTTTTATGTCATTGAAATTTATGCTTACACATATGATGACAGCAAATGTGCAAATGAGATATTAGTATTTGTGGCCCTGTGCACACGTACACGTGTACACACATACGTGTGTGGATAAATCATACTGAATGTCTCACATACATATCCTTAATACATTTTAACTTGAATTGGAAAATCATAGCTTGAATTAAAATGTATCGTTATTATTGATACTACTGATACAAGACTGAAAGTTCTAAATTGCTGTTTAATGCCACCACTTAGGAAAATATGCTGATTTTCCTCAGTTAGCAGTTAGTATCTCATGTTTTCTTTTGTGGTGAATAGTCATTGTGTTTGTTATAATTTGGAGTACTTGAATGAGAAAATTCAGAAAAACAATCATAAAATCCCTTCTCATGTAATTTAGGCTTAAATGCATCAGATTTAGCCATCAAATCTTAGCTTCTCCATGGAGCATATTTGAACAAAAGAATGCTTAGTTATGTGATCACCCTTTCAGTGCCTTGAATAAGTATGTGTGTGTGTGTACATGCATCTGTGTGTGCACGTGTGTGTACGTGTGTGTAGTCACTGAAGGGTTCATTACAGTGTGTATACTGCAGATTTAAGTGAAATATTATAGGCATCTCAGTCAAAGAAGACAGCTCAAAATTATTTGAAAACTAATTTAACAATGTCTTTTTTCCTAGTGAACAAAAGCAAATCATTTAAGCTGGAGCATTTTAAAACAGGGGTATTTTAAATTTGTGACATTGTAACAAATATTTATTTCAAGTTTTCCATAATAGATATTGGAAATGTAATACATATCCCAGCACTTACTATCTGACCTTGCTTTTAAAGAGAAAGTAATCAGCAAGTCAGTTTCCCTCCATGTCTTAAGCATGTATCAACTTCTTATTTTAAAACCTTCACTCATAAAACTGACATTCAGCAAGTTGATAGTAAATGGCAGCTCCATGTAAGCAAGAAGAGAAATCCTCCTTTGGGTGCATTAGTTTATAGATTCACATTTTCCTCAGTTACAGTGACAAAGCTACGAACTTTGTCTATGTTGAATGTTGGGTTTAAAAGAACCTTGATTTATCACTGGTGAAAAGTGATCATCTTAATAATAATATAGAATTACTGCTTGAAATTGGCAGTGTGGAGAAGCTTTAAAAGTATGAGAGCAATCTTGTGCTTAACTCTTAAAGGTAAGTGTAAATTTTCCAATATTAATGACAAGCATTTTGCTACTATTAATACTGGTGGAATCATGCGATCTCCTTGAGGAATTGCTTTATTCACATCTCCAAAATTGTTTATGTTTTATTATTATTAGTTCATACTGTAAAAATCACAATATCACTTCTTTGCACATTATAATTTAGTTTTTAAGATAAATATTATAAATCGTATATATTTTATACATATGAAAATGAAATGAAAATAAAAGAAATATGAAATGTAAATATATTTATTTCATTTTAATTGTTTTGGTGGATGTTTGTAAATGTAAATTAATGTCTGTAACAAACACTGTCACTTCATTACTTCAGTTCATTAATGTACTACTAATATAAATGTACCTTTTTTAATGAAGCATACTGAAAAATAAAAACAAATTCTTTTTACTAATTTTCTGTGATTTCATTTCTTTGAGTTTGATTTGTAGACCATATGTACGTTTAAAACATGATCTTCAGAGATGTAAATACAATTAAAAGGGATGAGATGACCTCCTTATCATGAGGGAGGACCATTTGGAAAGTAATATGTTCTAGTTCATCAATATTTGTGATGCTGTGATATCTGGCCTTTAAATGACCCCAAACATTAGAGAAAGACACCATTTACCAAGTTACATAAGCAACCTAGGAGTCACAACTTTTGCAAGTATGACACCTTTGATATTTTTGTAATGGCCCATTAGGAACTGAATCTATATTAAGACTGGGCAGGGAGGACATCATTATCTTGTCATTAATAATTGAGAAATTTTTCATCCTTCTATGGCCTAAAAGATCACAGTTGTCTTCCAGGAAATTATAGTGTCACAAAAGTGAATTCTTCCAGAAACCATTGTAGAACAACTCTGATATTTATGTTATTCTTGTTCCTAAATGAAAATTTTAACTTTAGTTCAGTTTTATTTACATGTTTAGTTTGGAGAAAAATTCCATTTAATAGAAAAACAAATGTTTATCATAGATAATTTAAATACTTAAAGAAGAATTAAGAATTGTATTAAACTTCACCATCAGCTAATTTAATGACTAATTTTAAACAAATATTACATAATACATATATTTGTTTATATAGATAGAAGTATGTGGATTTAAATGCTTTGTAAAAGTACTTGACTCAGTACAAGTACTTTGTAAAAGTACTTGTAGCATGATTGTGTAGCTTGTTTATGGCCTGGGTTTGATTTCCAGCACAACAAAAATAAACATAAATAAAAAGAAAATACTCCAATATAAAGACAACATAAAATAAAACTTTGGAGGAAATATATCGACAATATTAGCAAAATTCAGATATCATTTAAATTGAGGATGTGTACAAATGATTGCTCCACAGAATATATGTCATTTGAAAGATAATTGCATACTAATGAAAAGCAGGATTATTTTTGCATTTTCAAAAGGTCATGGTTTATGCCCTTAAAGATTTTTTATAATTTTAAGTTAAATGCCAGATACAAAAGAAATCATTTAGCATTAGTTTCATGAATTTTGATAAACAAAAATGATTGTATGTCACTACCAAACATAAGACAAAGCAATTTAATTATGGAAATCAGTGTCAGTCTGTAGCCAGCACTGTTACCAACCATTGGCAACAACTGATCTGCTTTTTGTCTCAATAGCTTCTGCTTTTTAGATCTAAAATGAAACATAGCACTTTTGAAAGATGGCTTCTTTCATTTAGGGGAAGACCTTGAGGTCTTCTTAGTCTCTTTATGATCAGTAGTTTCTCCCATTTCAAGTATACTGCAGTATGGCTACACTTTTTCCTCTTGAAGGATGCTTGCTGGCTTCCAGTTTTAGAACACTGCAAATAATCGCCATTAACATTAACGTGTAAGCTCTTTTGTCAACAATTTTTTTTTTAGTTTTTCAGCACTAAATTCCCAGGAATGGTAGTACTGTGTTCCATCATAAATGTTTTATGACAAATTCATACGGTAGCAACCCACTACATGCTCCGCTAAAGTAGCTGTACCATTTTAGCTTCTCACAACACTCACAGCAATGTGTGAGCGTGGGAGTAACTAACCTCAAATCCCAGTCCCCGCCTGGTTTTCTCAGTGTTCTAAACGTTTGAGTGAGCGTGTAGATAAGGATATCCCATTGCAGGTTAAAATCACGTCTTCCTAACAACACATACGTTTAACATCTTCTCATGTGCCTGCAGTTTTCTAGTAACTGTCTCTTCAAATCATTAAACATCATATGCTTTGGAGTTATTGAGAAATTTAATAAGTCGCTTAGAAGAGATAAAGTTTTTGACTATTTTCTAAAAATATTAATCTTAGTTTTTCATTCTCTTGAAAGCATCTTTGAAGACATGTTCTTACTCTGGTACTATAATTCATAGTTTTTCTTTTTCTTTATTCTGTCTTGCAGGTGAACAAAATTTTTTTTTTATCTCATGAATCTTAACCACAGGCATGAAGATATTCTTTTATAATCTTTTATAGAAATTTCATAATTTTAGCAGTAGCTTCTGCATACAGATTTATCAGCAACTTTAATTTTATATATAGTGAAATCTTGTTTGTTTTTCAGATGGATATATATTTGGACTCCTAAAGTTTGTTAAAACTATTTTTTTACTACTGAATTGTTTTGGGGTCTTTGTTGAAATTTTAGTTTAATATATATATATATATATATATATATATATATATATGGATTTATTTCTCAGCTACTCTATTATCTGTTGATGTATATATCTAAGCTTTCTCCAGATGCTACATTCTCTCAAAGAAATTTTACTATAGTTCTCACATTAGTCCTCAATTTTTATTGTATGTTCAAAAATCATTTGATTATTCTAGTCTACCTGACTTTCAATATAAACATTAGAATCTGCTGACCAAATTCAGCAAATATCTATTTTTATTTTCGATCATACTTATGTTAGTGTACAGGTAAGCGTGGAGAGCACCAGTTCTTAATAACAGTGAGTACTCCGATCCATGAACACAGAATATCCTACTTCCTTATGTATGTCTTGGCTCAATGGTTCACTTGTGTTTTGAGCTTCTATTTATAAATGTGCATATGTTCTATTAGCTATAGTGTACTCTGTGCTAGTCTCCATAGCAATTATTGCAGTTCATTTGACAATGCTTCTTCATTTACATATAAAATATAACATCATGTATTTTGAAATTCTGCTAAATTAATTCATGAATTTTAATTCTTTATTATATATAATTTAAAAATATTCAGAGTAGATAATCATATGCCATATTCAATAGAATTGGGTTATTTTTCTTCCTTTCTAGTCTGTTTTAATTGAAACTTCCTTCAAATTGCAAATGTTCCAACCTTCAGTTTCACACTAAAGGATATTGTTCAAAGCGTACATCCTTGTTTTAATTTTATTCAATACTAGTAGGTTGCATGATCATAACTGAGAATTTTTGTGTACATACTCAATATTGTATAACACACTGTGCACAGAAGTACCTTATGAATTTGCACAAATTTAAAAATAAATTAAGAGGAAGAACTGATCTAGAACAAAAGAAGAGAACTTCTTCCTGAGTGTAAAATGTGTTGGTCAAACACTGTAAGTAAAAACTGCCTTTCAAACTCTTCTCAGTATAGGAACCATCTCAACAAGAGCACTTGGCTGAGGTAGAGCTCAGTCATAGAGAACTTGCCTAGTATGCTCATGTCCTGGGTTTAATTCTCAGAAGCTACAAAAAATGTGTTTTAATAAACACAGAAGACCCAGCTTGTTTGGGACCCTGGCAACTTCTGGGTGCTAGGTGGGTCTGGGGCACCTGAATCCGCCTCCCCTTGTGCTTGGAAGACAGTGGAGTTCTAAGCAAGCAGGCCAGTGCCACTGGATCCAGAGGCCCGGCATTCTGGGATAAGTGCACCGCGCACTTTCCCCCGAGCCCAGTTTGTTTGGGACCCTCGAGCCTTTCAGGTGCACTGGAACAACTAGGCAGGTCTGGGGCACCTGCATCTGCCTCCCCATGTGCTTGGAGGACTGTGGAATTCTAAGCAAGCTGGCGAACACCACTTGTTCCAGAGGCCTGATGTCCTCGGGTAAGTGCCCCGCACACTTTTCCCCGAACCCAGCTTGTTTGGGACACTCGAGCCTTCCAGGTGCACTGGAAAAGCTAGGCTGGCCTGCATCCACCTCCTGGTTCCCTGCTGTGCTTGGAGGACTATGGAGTTCTAAGCAAGCAGGTGAGCGCCACCAGTTCTAGATGCCCATTAGTCTGGGAGAACTGGGTGCCAAAGTCCCAGGGTCTGAGGGCATAGAAGAGCATTTCCAACAGACCCTGAGGAAGCTTTCGAATAACACTTGAAACACTTAAAACAGAGAAAAACAGGAAAATGACAAAAGAAAGATCAAATTACAATCTCAAACCTCCAGCCCACAACAAGAAACCTTAGGAGCAATGTATATAGAAGAAAATATATGCCATACACCTCAAATATCGGATATAATAGCAACTGAAATAAACAAGCAACTCCAGGAAGTTTTAAAGGAATTCAAGCTAGAAATAATCTTCCAAGTACAAGAAGAAATGATAAAAGAAATGCTGAATATATCTGAAGAAAACACAGTTAAAAAATTGGAGGAACTAAACAAAAAAAAAAAAAATCCCTAGATGAGCAATATAAGAAACAAATAGAATACATAAAGCAGATGTACAATGATATACAGGAAATCAAAAATTCCACTGAAAGCTGTAAAAGCCACCTCAATGAAAGTGAAGATAGAATTTCAGACCTTGAAGACAAAATTGCAGCTACTGAACAGGAAAGGAATGTTCTTTTAAAAATAACAAGGAATCAGGAAATAACAGTTCAACAACTGCAAGATGATGCAAAGAAAAACAACATAAGATTGATAGGTATTAATGAAAAAGAAGGGGACACTGTAAAGGATGTCAAGAGGATATTTAGAGAAGTAATAGCTGAAAATTTCCCAAGCATGAGATTGGAAACCGACATCAGGTTCAGTGAAGCATATAGAACTCCAAATAGTAATAACCAAAATAAAACTATACCCAGACATACAATAATCACCATCCCAGAAATCCAACAAAAGAATACATTATTAAAAGCTGTCAGGGAGAAAACACAGATCACTTATAAAGGGAAACCTATCAGAATCACAGCAGACTTCTCAGCACAAACAATAAAGTAAAAAAGAAGATGGAATGAAGTATTCCAGATCCTAAAGGAAAATGATTTCCAACCTAAACTGATGTACCCCACAAAACTATCCTTCAAAAGCGATGGTGAAATAAGATACTTCCATGACAAAGAACAGCTGAAGAACTTCATGACCAGCAAGCCAACCCTGCAAAAAATATTCAAAGACTTTCCTAAGTGTATAGATACTTTCCTAAGTGTATAGATACACTTAGGGAAAAA